AACCCGTAATCCCAAGCCCCTAAATGCCAAATTCCGACCTAGATACACAAGCCTTGTTTACAAGCCTGGCCTCACAGCCATAAACCCCAACACCCTAAAGCCCAAACCCCAAAACCCTACACCCTACAACCCTAAACCCCAAGCCCTGAAACCCTACACCCTAAAGCCCTGAAAAAACCAAAAGAAACAAAAACCAAAACAACCCCAAAACCACAAAACCTTCAAACCCAAACCCCCCCCCCCCTCCCAAAGGCAAAGCCCTAAAACCCTAAAATCAACAGAACCCTCAACCACGTCCCGCCTGAATCCCAAAACCCCTGAAGGCCGATTGGCTGGTGGGATCTCGGGCCTTGGGACTCACCCTAAACCCTAAACCCTAAACCCTAAACCCTAAACTATATCTTCAATCGAAACCTGCGACAGCTCTAATGGTTATCAGCCTGATGCAACGGCCCCCAGAAGCCCAAAACCCTCAAACCGCGGGGCCCTACAAAGCTCTCAAAGCTCCCGCCGGGCACTGAGGGGGTTTAGGGTTTAGGGTTTAGGGTTTAGGGTTTAGGGTTTAGGGTTTAGGGTTTGGGGTTTAGGGTTTAGGGTTTAGGGTTCACCCTAACATCCTTTTCGGCACAAGCTGGCATGCACTTCTAGCGGGCTCATAAGCGCCGCTTGCGCAAAAGTGGCGCAACAGCGGTGGTAACTCCCAAACCCGTTTTGGCAAAGGCAAAACTCCGAAGCTGGCCCATGATTCGGCGCTGTTTTGTGATGGTTTAGGGTTTACAAGGGCTTTCAAAAGGATTTAGGGGCTTCTGGGGTCTAGGATTTCCTTTCGGATTAGGGTGTCTTTCATTTTTTTTAGGTATATTGCCAGACACATCCGGAGGCTGTTGGAGCTTGCGCTTCTGCGCTGGGTTCAGAGACTAAGGAGGTCACAGCAGATCCCCTAACAAACTAACAGTTGTTGAAGATATCTGCCTGCCAAGAGTCGTCGCACCCAATAGAGGGGTCGGAATAATTCCTAAAAACGTTCCCGTAGGGTCCCTCCATATTTATGCTATAATAACCCCCCCCCCCCCCCCCAAAAAAAAAAAAAAACTATTCTAATTTTGAGGGCCCTTATATATGTATATATGTCCATAAGTAATTATATATATACATAAAAAAAAAATATATATATATATATTACCTTTTGTCTCAGGTTCGAGAAAGGGGATCCGGCCTGTTCTGTGCCTGTGCATTTGCGGGAGCCTTAGCGCCGAAACACCCCGCGACACTTGGCAGGTGACTTGCATCGCCATCTTGAGACATCTCTTCATTCAACCCTAAACCCTAAACCCTAAACCCTAAACCCTAAACCCTAAACCCTAAACCCTAAACCCTAAACCCTAAACTACCCTAAGTCGCTTCGAGGTATCAGGGCCGCGGCTAAATGGAAGGAGGACTCAAGCCCTCACGAGCAACCGCGGTGGGAGGACCACGCGGTTGGTCACCTTGGGCGGATGCTGCGTGCTGTTTAAAGAGCTGCGCAGAAGCCCTTAACCCGAAACCCCTAAACCCTCGGGCTCTTTGTGGGCGGGGCGGGGGGGGAGGAGGTTTGGGATTTGAAACTTAGGGTGTAAGGTGTAATGTTGCACCTGCTTAGTGCCCTCCCCCTGAACCGTCGAAGCTGGTTTTTGCTCCACGGGCTCTACATGCTTCTAATAGGGAGGAGTTTGTGTAAGTTTCAAGGGGACAGCGAGGCCCGGCAATTGATTTGAAGGCGCGCGGCACGAAACTTTCTTACGCCACCCGGACGATTTGACTCATCACATGATCCCACCGCACACCGACTAGCAGTCAAAGTGTCCCGAGCAGCCCAGCAAGTTTGACTTTGAACCCGGGGGCCACAAAAGCCTGCACAACATCAGGGGTTTCGGATGTGTTCACTTCATTCAATCGGGTTTCCGAACATAGAGTTGTACAATTTTTTCGGGGGCTCCGATCGTTAAGATTAGTCTTGGGAAGCTCAATTCATGGTGCGTCTGCTCATGGACTTCGATTCATTACGAACAAACGATTGAAACACACCATGCATATCATGCGCACTCTTGTTCCGCAGCCTCTATCTGAGCTTTCGGAGCCTTACAAACCCCGAACCCTGAACCCTAAGCCCTAACCTCTGAACCCTAAACTCATAGTGACCATAGCGTTTGGAAGTTGTAAGGTCTAGGAGCATAGCTTCTTGGTAACAGTGGGTACGAGTGGCTTAAACTACTAGCTGCTCAAGAACCCCCAAAAAATAGAGAACAATAATCCCCTATATTACCCTTATAAGGAAGTTTTTTTTTTCTTCTTTTTTTTTGGGGGGGGGGGGGGGGGGGGGAGGGGGGGTTCTTAAGCACACCGGCCGGGCCACATAGACAGGGGCGTGAACCACTGGAGCGTAGCCGTAGCTGGCGCCATTCATGAAGGATGTCTCGCGAGAGATGGGCAACCTGAGTCGCAAAAAAATGAAGGGTTTTTAGGGTTTAGGATTTAGGGTTTATAGGGTTTAGGGTTTATGGGGTTTAGGGTTTAGGGTTAGGTTTAGGGTTGAGGGTTTAGGGGTTAGGGTTTAGGTTTCAATGCCCTGTGTATGTCGACAGCACAACGCCGACAAATCCCCAATTTAGGCCTACTCCGGCTCTGAGCCCTAAACCCTCGCACCCTCGAAACCCCCTAAACCCGCTAACCCGCTAAAACCCTAAACCCTCTAAACCTCTAGCCCTCCAAAACCCCTTAACGCTCTAGACCCTGTCGACCCTCTTATCCCTCGAAACTCTTCAAACCTCAAGCCTCCTAGGGACCCTGCGCCTCGTGACCCATCAACCACAGAAACCTTTTAAGAAAGAACAAGCCGGGTACTACAGCCTGCTGTCGGACACATTTCTAAGTAGGGAAAGGGGGGTGGGGGGCGGGGGCCTCCCCCCCAAACATAAAGGAACACAGGCCCACAATAAGGAGTTCTATCAGCCTACAGGGTAGAGCTGTTCGGGCTTGGGGTGTATGGGTTGTGGGTTTGGGGTTTGCGGGTTTCAGGGATCCCAAGTCTTACAAAAACCAAAGACCTGGGGTAGGACTGGGCCGGAAATCCCTTCGACGTGCCAAAAACGAACTCCACCGAAGCGCCCCAACCATCCACTGGTAGCTGAGGGGTTCAGGGTTCGAGGTTTGGGGTTTAGGGCTTCAGGGTCAGGGGTTAGGGTTAAGGGTTTGGGGTCCCAACCCCCCCCAAACCCCTCCCCCTACCCCCCTCCACCCCCCCCCTCGCCCCCCCTACCCCGCCCCCCCCCCTGCCCCCCCCCGATCCCCACCCCCTACCCCCCCCCTGGAACCCCCCCCCCCCTACCCCCCTACCCCCCCCCCCCCACCAACTTTGGCATCCTTTGACCTAACGAACGTTTGAACCTTTCAACTATGCTCCAGCGGGGTTGGCGGCTTGAGCCGGAGGCTCTTAAATTTAGGGTTTGGGGTTTAGGGTTTAGGGTTTAGGGTTTCGGGTTTAGGGTTTAGGGTTTAGGGTTTAGGGTTTAGGGTTTAGGGTTTAGAGCGAGCCCACAGGGCACTCCCTGGGCCGCCCTGCGGTGTCTGGGCAGGAGGGGCACGAACGTAGGGTGCCTGCATGGCTTCGGATGGCAGGTTGCGTGGCTCCTGCTTGTTTAGGGTTTAGGGTTTAGGGTTTAGGGTTTAGGGTTTAGGGTTTAGGGTTTAGGGTTTAGGGTTTAGGGTTTAGGGTTTAGGGCTTAGGGTTTAGGGTTTAGGGTTTAGGGTTTAGGGTTTAGGACTTAGGGTTTTAGGGTGTAGGGTTTGGCGTTTAGGGTTTAGGGCTTGGGGTTTGGGGTTTAGGGTAAGGATGAGGCCAACACCCCAAACCGACTAGAGTTGTTACTTGCTCTGAGTCTACTCAAAGCGTGAAGCAGGTCGATGGCATCATATGGCATCTAGTACTTGGCCTCACCACGTGCCCACATGTCAGTGGGATGTCTTGGCGTTCTTCGTGTGCCGTGGTGTCTTGGCTTCAGGGCATCATTTCATTCCGTTCGGCATTTTCCCGTCTTTCCCGCTGCGTTTGCTGTTGCGTCCTGGATTCTGGGCATCATCTTGGCCAGGACTCATGGCACCCCAAACCCTAAACGCGAAACCCTAAACCCTCAAAACCTAAACCGCGTTCTTGGATTATAGGGATGGGAACCAAATAACCCCTAAACCCTGAACCCTAATCCCCAAGTTGCTTTTGTCAGTTCTGTTCCGCGTTTTGCCGCAGATGCTCTACCTGCGTGGTTAGCTTCCTCCATCGTTTGGCAGACAGGATCCAGACTCGCTAGATCACGGGGGAGAACAGCGACCTAAACCTATAACCCTGCACACAAGACACCCGAAACTACGAAAACACCAAAAAAACCTGATCCACAAAAAGAACCAAAGCACTAAATCCGTCAACCCTAAACCCCATATACCTAGACCCGAAACAAGATCAACCTGCGGCCCTGAACCAATGAAACCCTGAACCCCATCAGCCCTAAACCGAGACTCTAAAACTGGCCCCAAACCCTAAATTCTAAACACCAAGCCCTAAACCCTGCAACCCTAAACCCTAACCCTAAACCCTAAACCCTAAACCCTAAACCCTAAACCCTAAACCCTAAACCCACTGTGGTGTTGGCTACTTTCAGAAGATCCCTCCCGCGGAAAAGGGTACCACTGCGCCCGGCCTGCAAGCCTCCAGCTCTTCAAGTTCGGGTTTTAGGGTTTAGGGTTTAGGGTTTAGGGTTTGGGGTTTGGGGTTTGGGGTTTGGGGTTTGGGGTTTGGGGTTTGGGGTTTGGGGTTTGGGGTTTGGGGTTTGGGGTTTGGGGTTTGGGGTTTGGGGTTTGGGGTTAGGGTTTGGGGTTTGGGGTTTGGGGTTTGGGGTTTGGGGTCTCGATTTATCCCAAAGCCCTGAGGCCCTAAAACCGAAAAAGCCCTAAAGTGTAGTCCCAAGAAAGCTCTATCGCTCAAGTTCGAACTCCATGCAGCCTTGGCAGCGTGCAGCCTGGTTTAGGGCTTGAGGGGTTTAGGCCTTACCGTAAACCCTAAACCCTAAACCCTAAACCCTAAACCCTAAACCCTAAACCCTAAACCCTAAATCCTAAACCCAAACCCTAGACCCTAAGCCCCAAAATGCGCCCTGCGCCTGAACTGGAGTGAAGACGGCAGGCTGGAGAACGCGCACGGCGACGCGGGGAACAGCGGGAACTGGATAGTACTCCTGCTGATCAGATCTACTAAGGTCGTACTCCCCAAAGGTTTCTCCAAGGGTTTAGGGTTTAGGGTTTAGGGTTCAGGATTTAGGGTTTAGGGTTCATGGTTCAGGGTTCAGGGTTCAGGGTTCAGGGTTCAGGGTTCAGGGTTTAGGGTTTAGGGTTTAGGGTTTAGGGCTTAGGGTTTAAACGATGTCTGGGGCGGGGGGAAGGGGTCGGGGGGGAAGGGGATGGGGAGGTGATCCAGTTGTTTTGAGGAATGCGTCAGCAAACAGCTTCAGGTTCAGGGTCTACAAAAAATCCGTAACTCAACCTACCTCTGAATGTATGCCCGAGTCGGAAGGACCTTTAGTCAAGCTGCTCGCTAAACCCTACCCCCCCCCCCCCGTTTAGGGTTTAGGGTTTAGGGTTTGAATCTCGGCCAGGCCAGACCCTAATGTCTACACAAGTGTATTGCAGAAGAAATGATGCTGCCAGTATATTACCAAGAACAAACGAACAAAACCACCACGATATACAGCTGGGTTTATTAACTATATACATATACACATACATGTATATATATATATATATATACACTATATGTATGCATATAAACTGAAAACCTAGAGGCACAAGATACACGGCCCCTGGAGTCAAGCACGGCGCTTTTGTCACCCGCTGGGTCATAAGGAAACCGGCTTTGCCGGAGCCCAAAGGTTCGAAGTGGGGAGTTGTTCAACCGCGGGTTTAGGGTTTAGGGTTTAGGGTTTAGGGTTTAGGGTTTAGGGTTTAGAGTTTAGGGTTTAGGGTTACAGACTCGACTACCAGAGAACAACCCCGACATAAGAGGAACTAAGAACTAGGAACGTCGAAGGGAACGCTGGTAGGGACCTCCGCAGCGCGCAGCGCTGGTGGGGGACAGGAGGGGTGTGGCTGAGGGGCTTCTTAGAGGCTGGGGTTTAGGGTTCAGGGTATAGGGTTTAGGGTTTAGGGTTAGGGTTTAGGGTTTAGGGTTTAGGGTTTAGGGTTTAGGGTTTAGGGTTTAGGGTTTGAGGGTTTGAGGGTTTGAGGGTTTGAGGGTTTGAGGGTTTGAGGGCTGAGGGTATCCGCAGCGGTCCACCGGAAGTTCCCTTTAATTCGAGAGAGTCGGTCAGGTCAGGCCCTCTTTGAAGCCGAAAAGGTTCGAGGGTTGATGGCTTATTTGGGGGTTTAGGGTTTAGGGTTTAGGGTTTAGGGTTTAGGGTTTAGGGTTTAGGGTTTAGGGTTTAGGGTTTAGGGTTTAGGGTTTAGGGTTTAGGGTTTAGGGTTTAGGGTTTAGGGTTTAGGGTTTAGGGTTTCGAGTTACACGCTTAGGAGGCCGTTTGCCCCTTTTGCAAGCAAAAGAAGATGTACAGGATGCCACCAAGTCCTAGTCAATTACCTGGCATTCTCAACCCTAAGCCTAAAAACCCTCAATCCTAAACCCTAAACCCTAAACCCGAAACCCTAAACCCTAAACCCTAAACCCTATACCCCAAGCAAGTGAACATGGGCCAACATCATGGCAGCCTGGCTCGTCTAGGCCCTCATGCTAGCAAAGTCCCAAGTTGGGATCCGATCCTCTAGTCTCCTTTGCTTCTGCTTGAACGGTTTAGGGTTTAGGGTTTAGGGTTTAGGGTTTAGGGTTTAGGGTTTACGGTTTAGGGTTTAGGGTTTAGACTTTAGGCTTTAGGCTTTAGGGTTTAGGGTTACGAGTTTTGGGATGTAGAAGAGATTGAAGGCAAGACCCCCGAAAAAAAATGAGCACAGGGACGCATTAAAACTCGGGCCTCGTCTCTTAGGTGCCACGGAACCCTACCGCGAAACCCTAAAGCCTAAACCCTATAAACCCTACTTCTCAAAACAAAGCCTTGAGGGTCGAGGCGTCCCCAAATCGCTGCCGCTGATTTCTTGGAAATCAGGACGCTTGGTGTTCTCACAGGATTAAGGTTCATGGTCTATAGAGTCAAAGGTTTATAGGGTTTAATTTTAGGGGTTCGGAGTTTAGAGTTTGGGCAGTTTGGCATTGTGGGGTGGAAGGCTAGAGGGCGCGTAGATGTCTCGCTGGAGCGGCGTGAGAACGCCGGAATGTCCCCATCAAGGGGAAGGTGGTAGTTCGAGCAAGAACCGTCTGGGGTTTAGGTTTTAGGTCTTAGGGCTTAGGGCTTGGTCACACTCCACTACTGCTTCGTTGAGGGTTAATTCTGGCTTAGGTTGAGGGTCACTTTGTTTCAGGTGCATGGGGCTCATAGGCCTTTTTGTGGTTTGAAGCTAAACCCCAAACCCTAAACCCTAAACCCTCAACCCTCAAACCCTGAAACCCTCAAACCCACAAACCCACAAACCCTCAACCCTAAACCCTAAACCCTAAACCCTAAACCCTAAACCCTAAACCCTAAACCCTAAACCCTAAACCCTAAACCCTAAACCCACGGGGGTCCCCACTTCTGCCCTATGTCTTCTCAGGTTGCGCCGCGACCGGCGAAGGAGCTTTTGCCTGCGAGGGCTAGGGTTTAGACCTTGAAAGTATGTAGGGTTTAGGGTTTAGGGTTTAGGGTTTAGGGTTTAGGATTTAGGGTTTAGGGTTTAGGGTTTAGGGTTTAGGGTTTAGGGTTTAGGGTTGAGGGTTTAAGGCTTCGGGTTTAGGGTTTAGGGTAGGCGAGCGCCGCTTCAGACTGAGCAGGCGCCTCAGGTTTCGGGGTTGCGGGTATGAGCCCGAAACCCTGAACCCCAAGCCCTAGACCGAATTCACCCCTCGGCCCTGTAACCTAGCCCTAAACCCTAAACCCTAAACCCTAAACCCTAAACCCTAAACCCTAAACCCTAAACCCTAAACCCTAAACCCTAAACCCTAAACCTTTAGCGGGTTGTGAGGAGCACCCGGGCCAGCCTCAAGCGGCGACGCCGGGCCTCCTGTGTCCGATCCGCGGCGAACAGCAAGGCTCTACAAAGCAATGGCCGCATCGCGCAACCACCCTTATTGGCGTTTGCCGGGAGGCCCCGGTGGACATCTAGCTGACATTCGACATGGGTGGAGCCACAAATGGCCCCTAACTCACGGTACTGCCACGTGTTCGGCAGCAACAAACATTGGGCCGCGTTGGGCGAAAACCAGAAAATACACCTGTCACACCGCTCAAAATCGGCATGCCCGTTCACTACAGTGCTAAGCCGCATCGCGCAGCCTCGCTCATCGGACCAGGCAGGACGAAGCTGGACAGTGTAGCCATTGGCATCAAGACCTCATGTTGTTTTCGGAAATCTGGCCGACAAATTCTCGATTGGGTATGTTGTGTGCGCTGTAAAGGCCGTCGTGGCTGCAGACATGCGCAGGTTGCTTCCGGCAAATGTCACGCGTCATAGTCCCGGCCCTGCAGGTCCTGACAGTTGCCCCTTCGGGAAGTGCAAGTAGCTGACCGAGAGCAAAATGCCGCCATGAAAGCCGCGCCGTCGCCGCGTCACCAACAACCGAGGGAACATGCTTGCCTCCAAGGCTGGAGCAATTGCTGTTTTGAAAGCCGTAGCAGTTGACATCTGGAGAAGAGCAGAGCGCCGACCCACTGCAAGGACATGGTCTTGAATCAGCTGCCAGGTTGGGGCCCGCAAGTGCGTAAGCCACAGCAAAATCATGGTTCGGAAACTGTAGGTGCAGCTGTGGCAGCATAGGGCTGGCCCGCATCAAAACCACTCCACACACCGCGAATAGCCAGTATAGCCGTCCTCGTACTCGAAGTCGTAGCAACTGCCACGTCGCGGAACGCAGAAAGCCTTGAAACTGTAGCACCAACCACCCCAAAGGCCGCAGCTGAACCAAGCATGCGGTAGATTCTGAATGGCATAAGCAGGACCGTAACGAGTAAAGAGAAATCAGCGGCAGTCGAATCATGGCCCGATTTGCAAAGGAGGTGGTTCTACCTCCCCCAACGACCTCGCCACGTGTAGGCTCGGGCCGAGAGGCTCCTAAACCCTAAACCCTAAACCCTAAACCCTAAACCCTAAATCAAACACTAAACCTCGGTTTAGGGTTGAGGATGCAGGCTTTAAGGTTAATGAAACCTCGTAACCCTAAACGTTACCCTAAATCCTAAACCCCAAGCCCTAAGCCCTAAACCCTAAACCCTAAACCCTAAACCCTGAACCCTAAACCCTAAACCCTAAACCCCAAACAAACTCTAGGCGCCGCACCCTGGGCTGGCTGAAGACACTTCGCCCCCATGACTTGGCGTAGGCGTTGCCAAACTCGACCACGTCGCAGCTGCCTCATGCTTTTAGGGTTTAGGGTTTAGGGTTTAGGGCTTTGGGTTTAGGATGCTGGGTAGCACATAAGCGTTGAAAAAGACACAAAAATCCCTAAACCCCAAATTGCCAAACCCCAAACCCCAAACCCCAAACAACAAACCCCAAACCCCAAGCCCCAAACCCCAAACCCCAAACCCCAAGCCCCAAGCCCCAAACCCCAAACCCCAAACCCTAAACCCTAAACCCTAAACCCTAAACCCTAAACTTTCAAAAAAGACACACAGCCCTGCCTTTGGGCTTGAACCAGGGGTGTCCCGGCTTGTTGAGGAAGATGCGGCTCTTGTCTGCTGCCACAGCCACGGCCCGCTCCTCTTTGAGATTCGCTGGGGAGTTAACAGCAAAAGGAGTGGCAAGCCGAAGCAGTACCTTTGTTAGGGTTTAGGGTTTAGGGTTTAGGGTTTAGGGTTTAGGGCTTAGGGCTTAGGGCTTAGGGCTTAGGGCTTAGGGCTTAGGGCTTAGGGCTTAGGGCTTGGGGTTTGGGGTTTGGGGTTTGGGGTGTGGTGTTCAGGGCGCGTGGGGCATAGGCATAGGGCTGGGAGTCAAAGGCTTAGGGTTTAAGTTCAGGGTTCAGGGCCGGGCATTGTTCCAGTTGACCTTCCCCAGGCCTCACCTACTAGCAATAACCCTAAACCCTAAACCCTAAACCCTAAACCCTCTTTTTCTTCACCGGCGGCTCATCTACGGGCGAGGACTCTTCCTCACTCTCTACCGCCTCACGCCGGGCTCTGCTGTTGGCCAACAGTTGGAACTGCCAAGCCAGCCTGCGACAAACCGGCTGGTTCAAGAGTGCTTGGGGTTTAGGGTTTAGGGTTTAGGGGTTAGGGGTTAGGGTTTAGGGTTTCGGGTTTAAGGTTCAGTGTGGGCTCGTTCATTTCGTGCATTGTGGTCAGTTGCTTGCGGCGTCTTCGTGCCCTCAGCTTTGGCCATGAACCCCGACAGTTCCAGGCGTTTAGGGTTTAGGGTTTAGGGTTTAGGGTTTAGGGTTTAGGGTTTAGGGTTTAGGGTTAGGGTTTAGGGGTTTAGGAGAAACCCTCTTGATTGACATAGGTGATTCATTGTTGACAAGAGCAATCCAAAGAACAAAGACAAAGCAAACAACAACCAAAAAAGCAATACGAAATCGTTGGCATTCTGGGTGCGATTTCAGCCCCACCCCTGAAATCCTTCCACCCTTCAAGAACTCTCATCCTTAAGCCGCCTCAACCCCACTACACCTAAACCCTAAACCCCCTGAAGCAACCCGAAGCCTTCTGATGCCACACCCTAAACCCTAAACCCTAAACCCTAAACCCTAAACCCTACACCCTAAACCCTAAACCCTAAACCCTAAACCCTAAACCCTAAGCCCTAAGCCCTAAGCCCTAAACCCTAAACCCTAAGCCCTAAACCCTAAACCCTAAACCCTAAACCCCCTAAAGCAACCTGGCCTCGGATTGGGAGCCAAGCCGTCCCCGCCGAGCTCGTAGAGGTGCGCCAGGGCAGATAGGATCTGATGCTCCTCCTTGGCTTAGAGGGTCTGTAGGGTTTAGGGTTTAGGGTTGAGGGTTTAGGGTTTAGGGCTTAGGGCTTAGGGCTTTGGGTTTAGTTAGGGGTTTAGGGTTTAGGTCCAGGGGTGGGGGGGGGGGTGGGGGGTTCATTCAGAGGGACTACCGGCCGATCCAGACTTAAATCCACAACCTGAAACCCTAAAATCCTAAAACCCTAAACCCCCAACTCTTAACCCCAAACCCCAAACCCCGAACCCCAAACCCTACCCTAAACCCTAAACCCTAAACCCTAAACCCTAAACCCTAAACCCTGCCAAGCGCAGCTGGGAAGCCAAAGCGCCACCAGGAAGCCGTTCCGCCTCTCGGTCCTCCTCCTCGGGGATTCAAGGGGTTTAGGGTTTAGGGTTTAGGGTTTAGAGTTTACGGATTGGGGTTTAGGGTTTAGGGTTTAGGGATTGGGGTTTGGGGTTTGGGGTTTAGGAGTGCAAGGGGGTTTGGGGTTTAGGATTTAGGGAGTGGGGTTTAGGGTTTAGGAAGTCAAGGGCTTCAGGGTTTAGGGATTCAAGGGGTTTAGGGTGCAGGGATTCATTGGGTTTAAGGGTTCAAGGGGTTTAAGGTTTAGGGTTTAGGGATTCAAGGGATTTAGGGTTAGGGATTCAAGGGGTGTAGGGTTTAAGGGATTGGGGTTTAGGGATTCAAGGGGTCTAGGGTTTAGGTTCAAGGGTTGGGGTTTAGTATAGCTCTACATTGTGGAACTGCAAGATTAGACTCAGGCTGCTGGGATGTGCTGTTTCAAGCGAAAGGCGAAGCCAAACCCTAAACCCTAAACACTAAACCCTAAACCCTAAACCCGAAACCCTAAACCCTAAACCCTAAACCCTGAGCTTTCCCCTTGTCTGCCTTGTCTTCTGTCAGAGCAAGGAGGGGAAGCGGCACACTTGGGACAATTTCGGGTCTGGAGGCTCCTAAACCCCAACACTAAACCCTAAACCCTAAACCCTAAACCTTAAATTTAGGGATATTTGGAGGCGCCAGAGCTGCATGGAGGGACCTGGGGGAACCCTAACATTCGTGACAGGGAAGGAGAGAGGCCCACACCTTGCTAGTTGTTCATATCAAGGGTTTAGGGTTTAGGGTTTAGGGTTTAGGGTTTAAGGTTTAGGGTTAAGGGCTTAGGGCTTAGGCCTTAGGGCCTAGGGCTTAGGGTTTAGGACCCCTAATCATGTCCTCCTAAGAGATCTTAAGAGGTTTCCCTTAATATACTCCTTCTATGGCCCCCCATCTTCCCTGAGGAATCTTAAAATAGGGTCCCCATGCCCAAGGGCGCAACCTCAAAAGGTCCAAGGTAGAGTCCCATGATAACAGGGGATTAGGGAAGGAGGTCCCTTGCATCCCCCGTATACAGCCCTTTGGGGGACTCTACGGGCTTAGGGCTTAGTTTAGGGTTTAGGGTTTAGGGTTTAGGGTTTAGGGTTTAGGGTTTAGGGTTTAGGGTTTAGGGTTTAGGGTTTAGGGTTTAGGGTTTAGGGTTTAGGGTTTAGGGTTTCGGATGCTTCCTCCTTCCGAAATTGCAAACCGGCAAGACAGCGAAGATGGCTGGCTGGCCTTAGCCAGCGTGGGTAAGAGCATGATCGCCCCATGGGAACCACACTCATCATGGGCACCCCGGCCCTTGTACAGCTTGATGAGCGTGCCGCCTTTGAGGCCGATGGCTTCGCCGCCACGAAGGCAGAGCTTCATCAGCAAATGGTACAGCAGCTCGGCGAGCAGCCGGGGGCAGACAATTTGGTGCACAGGCTGAAAGTTGGCGGCCTAAACTGTAGGGAGGTCGGAAGGCGCCACGATACCATAAACCCTAAACCCTAAACCCTAAACCCTAAACCCTCAACCCTAAACCCTACACCCTACACCCTAAACCCTAAACATCCCTAAGCCCTAAACCCGCAAGAATCCTGCGACCCAAACGGAAGAATCTGACAAGAAACACATTGACATGTAGCTGAAAGATGCTTCCTTTCTTGGTAGGGGCCTTAAGGGAGGGGGGCTCATGGGCGGGGGAAGGTACCTAGGGAACCTTAGGGAAGCCTAGGGAAGCTTAGGGAGCCTTAGGAGTAGTTGGGAGCACTAGGGAAGCTTGGGTTACAAACCCCCGCCTGAACCCCAAACCCTGAACCCTAAACCCTGAACCCTGAACCCTAAACCCTAAACCCTAAACCCTGAACCCTGAACCCTAAACCCTAAACCCTTAATGACCCTATACTTTATCAGTCCAAGGCGCTGTGTCATCCTCGAGCCTAAGAACTGCACAAGGCGTGGTCTTTGCAGGGATTAGGGTTTAGGGGTTTGGGGTTGAGGGTTAGGGTCAGGGGGTTTAGGGTTTAGGGGCTTATGCTCTAGGCTAGGGGGTTTAGGTGTTTAGGGTTACGGGGTTTCAAGTTGAGGGTTTCAGGATTTAGGGTTTCAGAGGGCTCATCTAGCGTTTCAGGTTTCAGGCTTTGGGGTTAAACCCTAAACCCTAAACCCTAAACCCTAAACCCTAAACCCTAAACCCTAAACCCTAAACCCTAAACCCTAAACCCTAGAGGGCTTGGGGCTTAGCGTAGAAACGTAGTTGGGGCAGCCAGGGCGCGTGCTGAGGGCTGCCAAGGCCTCGCCAGATGGGGGACAAGGGGGGAAACTCAGAAGGGGGCTAAACCCCAAACCCTAAACCCTAAACCCTAAACCCTAAACCCTAAACCCTAAACCCTAAACCCTAAACTCTCTGATCCTGGAACTTTTTTGAAGTGGGTTTAGGGTGTTGTGCTTGGGGTTACTAGTGCCCCCAAAAAGAAAGCGCACTCAACAACACCCAGGAAACAACGCAACCTATACCTAGTTCATGGTTGGGATAGTATGAAAAATCTACATCTCTATTCCTTACTGAGATTGAGTATCCTTAAACATGTAAAATGTTCCCCCCCCCCACTATGACAAAGAAACTGTAAATAAACCTTCTGCCCAAACAGGATCTTTCATTCTCAGTATCCCTAACGCACATGACCTCCCAGGAAGATTGGTCTCAAGTGGCCCAGCCAGCAACAAACATGTTTGACTCAAACAATACACAAGCACCTATCAACCTTCAAAGATACACCTCCCTAAGCCCTAGACCCTAAACCTTGAATCTTTATCAACTTGCGACCCCAAACCCAAACCCTAAACCCTGAATCTTTATCAACTTGCGACTCCATGATCACCTGCGCCCTTTCCAGAGCAACACCCCTAGGCCGCGTGCCTTGCGATACCAGTGAACGGAATCTGTGGCAGAGATGGCGCAACCCAGGCCTATGCTTCTGGTTTAGGGTTTCGGGTTTAGGGTTTAGGGTTAGGGGTTAGGGTTTAGGGTTTAGGGTTTGGGGTTTAGGGCTCAGGGGCAAAAGATATGCACCAGCGAAGTAAAAGCCAGCGATAACACGACCACCCACTGAGGCCTAAACCATAGAATCCTAAACCCCTTTAAACCACAGAATCCTAAACCCTAGGGGCCTGAGGGCCCTAAGGGCCCAGCAAGGAGTTTAGGGTTTAGGGTTCAGGGTTCAGGGTTTAGGGTTCAGGGTTCAGGTCCTTGGGTTTACATACGCGTTAAAATACCTCAAAACTTAAGACCCCCCACGCCCCTCCCGATGCACCCCAAGAAGGAGTCCGGACCCTAATGAACCCCGACAGGGGTGTGAGAACCCTAAACCCGAAAGATTAGGCTTTAGGGCTTCGGATTTAGTACTTAACGCCCACACGAAGGCCGGCTTGAGGTGGCCAAGGTCGGGTCAAATTCTGAGGGGTTTAGGGTTCAGGGTTTAAGGTTCAGGGTTTAGGGTTTAGGGTTTAGGGTTTAGGGTTTAGGGTTTAGGGTCTTAGGGTTTAGGGTTTAGGGTTTAGGGACAAGGGTTGAGGGTTTAGGGTTTAGGGTTTAGGGCAAAACATGAACTGGGAAAAAGTTGAGGTGCCTGGGGCCATAGGGTGTGGGACGCAGACCCTCTTACGACTCCTAGTCACAGGTTCTCAAATCAGCCCCACGCCCTCTAACCCTAAACCCTAAACCCTAAACCCTAAAACTGAAAAGCCCGAAAGCCTGAAGCCGTAAAGCCACACAAGCCACATGCCTGTTAGCAAGGGCACCTAACATTGGGAGGTTCCCCCTCATACTAACAGTCCTATAGTACCCCCGCCCCTGTTGAGGACCCTAAACCCTAAACCCTAAACCCTAAAACCTAACCCTAACACTCCGAAGCCCAAAGCCCAAAGCCCAAAGCCCAAAGCCCAAACCCCAAACCCTAAACCCTAATCCCAAACCCTAAACCCTAAACCCCAAACCCTAAACCCCAAACCCTCCCCTCCCCCATCTCTCCCGCCTCGCTCGTAGGCGTAAGCAGCTGCGGACATGGCCCGCGCCACGCCACTCTCCGCCGCTTGCAGGATGTAGGGGAACCTCAACATCTTTGTAGGGTTTAGAATTTAGGGTTTAGGGTTTAGGGTTTAGGGTTTAGGGTTTAGGGTTTAGGGTTTAGGTTTAGGGTTTAGGGCTTAGGGCTTAGGGTTTAGGATTTAGGGTTTAGGGTTTAGGGTTTCGGGAAACCTCAGCATCTTGCTCCTAGTTGCCGAGCACCCTGGGCCTAGACTGGCTCACCTTTGAATTGAGTTCTGGTAGGATTATACCCAAAAAGGTTACTGGTTACCCTACTCAGCTACGAAGTCCTACAGGGCGAGTAAACCCGGCGCTTGCAAAGTATGTCAGGTTTCAACCCCCCGGGTCGGGGTTTGTTGGGTTTAGGGTTTAGGGTTTAGGGTTTAGGGTTTAGGGTTTAGGGTTTAGGGTTTAGGGTTTAGGGTTTAGGGTTTAGGGTTTAGGGTTTAGGGTTTAGGGTTTAGGGTTTAGGGTTTAGGGTTTAGACCAGGGGTTTAGGGGTTTAGGGGTTTAGGGGTTTAGGGGTTTAGGGGTTTAAGGGTTTAGGGGTTTAGGGGTTTAGGGGTTTAGGGGGTTTAGGGGTTTAGGGTTTAGGGTAGGGTTAAGAATCCTTTGAGGCACTATGTGGACATGGCACGCCGACACGCCCAGAGGTGCGGCATGTCCGGCAAAGGCACATGTTTCCGACACCGTCCAACAATTCTCATCGGCACCAGCCAGGTTTCTAATTCATGCTGTGGGCCTTCACAGGCCACTACCCAAGCCATTGCCTTTCAGGGGTCAGGGCTGCGGCAGGGAAACCCTGAATGAGCAGCGGGTTTCAGCTGCACCTCTGCCCTCAACCCTAAACCCTAAACCCTAAACCCTAAACCCTAAACCCTAAACCCTAAACCCTAAACCCTAAACCCTAAACGGCACAGCCGAACTGGAGAAGAAAAGGCCACTGCGTCTACTGCGTCTATTGAGGTCCACTACTCCACAATCGAACTTCCGCGAGGCGATTGCGCGAACCCTGGCCCGGAAGGTATTTAGGGTTTAGGGTTTAGGGTTTAGGGTTTAGGGTTTAGGGTTTAGGGTTTAGGGTTTAGGGTTGAGGGTTTATGAAGCCTAAATAAGACAGGTGACGCTGCGCTTTCGTCCAGTGTCAGCGGCCTCTGCAGTGAAGTGCCCAGGGCGCGCAGAACCCCTTTCCTTGGCTGACTTCTGCAAAAGCTTAACTTTTAGGCTCCCAAAACCCTAAACCCTGAACCCTAAACCCTAAACCCTAAGCCCTAAACCCTAAACCCTAAACCCCTCATTGTAGTTTCTACAAAAAAACCAAAAGGTTAGAGCCCTAAGAGGCAGCCAGAAGAAAGCCAAGCTTCCTGGGACGGATGCTGAGATGCCTGGGACGATCTTGGGGTCTCCGGGTGCAGGCTTTTTGAGGGGTGAGAGGGGTTTAGGGTTTAGGGTTTAGGGTTTAGGGTTTAGGGTTTAGGGTCTAGGGTCTAGGGTTTAGGGTTTAGGGTTTAGGGTGTTTAGGGTTTAGGGTTTAGGGTTTAGGGTTTAGGGTTTAGGGTTTAGGGTTTAGGGTTTAGGGTTTAGGGTTTAGGGTTTAGGGTTTAGGGTTTAGGGTTTAGGGTTTAGGGTTCGAAGGGGTGAAGCCCTTAGGGTTTTGGGAGGGGCTTAGTAGCTGGCTCCCATCATCGGTGCCTTCGCAAGATTTATTGGCATTCTGGGGCCGTTTGGGGTTTATAGGGGCTTCAGAAATCCTGGCGTTTTCTTGGGGTCTAGGTTTGGGGCCCTAAACCCTAAACCCTAAACCCTAAACCCTAAACCCTAAACCCTAAACCCTAAACCCTAAACCCTAAACCCTAAACCCTTGGGTTTCTAGGGCTTATCTGGATCGGGGGCTCAGACTCTAAATTGCTAATGTGCAGAGGTTGGGAGCCCTCCGCCATGAACTCTAAACCCCAAATTTTTGGGTTTAGGGTTTAGGGTTTAGGGTTTAGGGTTTAGGGTTTAGGGTTAGGGGTTTGGGGTTTGGGGTTTAGGGTTAGGGGTTTGGGGTTTGGGGTTTGGGGCTTGGGGTTTGGGGTTTGGGGCTTGGGGTTTGGGGTTTGGGGTTAGGGGTTTGGGGTTTGGGGTTTAGGGCTGGGGGTTTGGGGGCTTAGGGTTTAGGGCTTAGGCTTGGGGGTTTGGGGTTCAGGGCTTAGGGCTCGAGGGGTTCGGGGTTTAGGCTTTAGGGGTCTGGGGTTTAGGGTTGGGGGTTTGGGGTTTACGGCTTTGGCAGCGGTTTTCGGGCTTTCGGGTTTTAGGGTTATAGGGGTGTAGGGTTTCAGGGCTTCAGGGTTCAGGGCTTGGGTTGGGTGACATTTTTCGTGCTGTTGGGGATACAGCAGCTACTTCCACAAGAAGATCACGCACACCCCGCACCCTGACCACCAACAACCACTGCCCCAGTAAGGCTTTAAGGGTTGAGGTAGGGTTTAGGGCTAGGGGTTTAGGGTTTAGGGTCCAGGCACCACCCCGAAACAAAACCAAACACAATCTGTGCCCCCGGAAAAAAGTTAGCAGTGACCATTTCCATTTCCAACCATGCACGCCCCCCTGGGCCACTCGAAGACCCAAACGATAACAACCTATGCCTCAACCCCAACTCACCAAAAGACCCATAGGAACGACCTACATGACAAAACCCAGATTATGGAACCATGCACTACCCCGTAGCAAAATAGCATACTCGAACCCATAGACCAACACCCCCATAGAAAACCCTAAACCTTTAACCCTAAACCCTAAACCCTAAACCCGAAATCCCGAAACCCTTGAGAAAGGAAATGGTCAAGGCTACACCTTAATGGAGAGCTTACGCTCTCTATCTTCTCTAACCAAATATTTAGAGTAGGAAAAAGGTTTTGGAATGAGGTAGTCACCAATCAGAACATTATAATGAACTAGTAATCTGGTTGCTTATTGCTCTCGATTTTCTCTTCCTTCCTCAATCTTCGGAATCATTTTCGTTGCTTTTCGTTTTCTTCAAATTGCTCTCGTATGCTTTCTATCTCATCAGTAGTCATTTGAAGCCTAGTGCCGTCATGTTTCGTCTCTGTAAATCTACTTCTGTCGGCTTCATTCTTGCGCAGTGTTCGATGCTTGTGACCGGAAATCCTCTAACCTCTTCTTTCTCTCAAGCAACCAATCATTTAAGTATCTTCAATCTCGTCAGTCATAAAGACAAGAATCTCAACCTGCAAGGTATCGCTCATTCTTATCTTAACATATATATGTATGTATATTTATTTATTTCATGATTTATTTAATTAGTTATTTATTTGTTTATTTATCTATTTTGGTGGGACTGTTCAGCATTCCTTAAGGATCTGTATGTCGGTTTCGTTGTAGTGGGATTTATGCAAGGGATGAAATAAAGCCTTGTTGAATTCATGAATCGCTTTAGGTGTAGTTCCATCCACTGAACTTGTCACCAGATATTGGATTTTGAACCTGTATCCTATGCTCTTCTTCTTAATGTAAAGTTTAAAATGCAAATCGGATACGATACAAGCGCTAAACCGCACTTGTGGCTCATACCCTGCCATCTTGCTCGTGAAGCAAATGGGGTAGATCAGTACCATCATAAATTAGTGTACATTCGTCTTTTTCTGGACACATCTTAAGGTCATTCAAGGACTGTATCATTTTACATTCTGTCGGTTCACCTTCCTCGCTGATATAATAATCGGGGGGTGCCTGAAACGATGCATCTTGATTTTCACAGATTGCCGCCATCTGCCGTAACATCTGCAGGTTGTCGTTTCCCGTGTAGATGTGGTTGGCGTTTACGAGGGCATACAATGTTGGTATACGGTGGTTGAATTTGGTGTTGTATTTGGTAGGTGAGTACTTGAAAATGGGATTGATGAAGAATTAAATATCCTTACTTGCACACCGTAGTGTTGAAAAACTGGCACCATATCTCGTATTGAAGCACCGTTCGAAATGAAATCCTCCTCGGTGTTGTTCATCAGTTTTTACTTTATTTCGTTTGTTAATCTGTTCTTTTCCCGTCGCTTCTCGCCCATTAGCGTATCCTTATACCAATCGGCTATGGTGTCAAACCAGCACTCAATTTCTTTGTGATGTTCTTTTTTTACTGCTTCCTTAAAGGTTTCAAACTCGGGGCTAAAGGCGTGTGAATGTAGATGTTCTACATGCTTACATTGGTGGTATTTGTTTGTTTTTCGTTTTTGGTGTCAAACTTGACATCATCATCAACACGTTCTAAACTGAGCAATTTGATGCAACCCATGTTTTCCTTATGGAATTCGAACTCTTCCCTCGCGTCTGGGTCGGTTTGTAGGGTGTTAAAAAACTTTAAGAACAGTCTGACAGTGTCCTCTCGGTGCGAAATACCCGTTTCCAACTATGTCTTCTATGCAATTAGAAGATTTTACATTTAATGCTTTCGGTTTCTTCTAGTAAAGAACGTAAGGTCTGCCTTTGCTGCCTCTAAATGCTGCTTGAGTTCCGTTTCCTTGTTTTCGTCCTTCAGCCTGTAAAACAACACATCTGCAGTGTAGATGTTGGCAACTGGTCACCGAATATTTACACAATGGAAAATATTGACAGTAGATTAGGTCAAAGTTACTGTAAAGTTGAAGGTTTTGATAGGCAATATATGAGATTTGAACTGCTGAAGGTTTGAGGACAAGCGCTCCCTAGCGTTTTCTGCATGATCAGGGTTGGGTACATTACACTTCCCATGACAGTCTCCAAAGCAGACGAGTTGACCATCCGACCACACTGCACAGCAGTAAGTGTGACAATGGTCCACTAAGCTGGTGGCGAATCTGTTGGCACGCGGCATTGCCCAAATTCATTGTTTCCAAAGCAGACGAGCTGACCATCTGCCCGCACTGCACATGTATGGTCTGCGCCTGCTGAGACTGCCAACACTGGTCCCAAATCTGCTGGCACGTCACACGCCCCTTCTCCATTGTATCCAAAGCACACGAGCTGACTATCTGCCCGCACTGCACAAGTATGATGTCCGCCCGCTGAGACTGCCAAAACTGGTCCCAAATCTGCTGGCACGTCACACCGCCCCCAATCATTAAATCCAAAGCAGACGAGCTGACCATCTGTCCGCACTGCACAAGTATGATGTCCTCCCGCTGAGACTGCCATAACTGGTCCCAAACCTGTTGGCACGTCACACTGCCCCCAAAAATTACATCCAAAGCAGACGAGCTGACCATCTGTCCGCACTGCACAAGTATGACGTTCGCCAGCTGAGGCTGCCAAAACTGGTCCCAGATCTGCTGGGACATCACACCGTCCCCAATCATTAAATCCAAAGCAGACGAGCTGACCATCTGCCGGCACTGCACCTGTATATTGTCCGCCCGCTGAGACTGCCAAAACTGGTCCCAAATCTTTTGGCACGTCACACGCACCCCAACGATTCAATCCAAAGCAGACGAGCTGACCATCTGTCCGCACTGCACAAGTATGGTCTGCGCCCGCTGAGACTGCCAAAACTGGTCCCAAACCTGTTGGCACGTCACAGCGCCCCCAACGATTCAATCCAAAGCAGACGAGCTGACCATCTGTCCGCACTGCACAAGTATGACGTTCGACCGCTGAGACTGCTAAAACTGATTTCAAACGCTGCGCATGGTCGCTGAGTACGCCGCAGGCTGACAAACCATTCTTCCTCACGACGCAAGTGCTGGAAACTTGAACATATCCGTAACGTGGTGAGAATGCGGTAGTCCTTGTGTGCATATTGCTAGTCCCGCACCTGACACGTTGAAGCCGTGGCCGCGCCAAACGTGATTGACCTAGCGCAGGAACGCACCAGGAGCCAGGACGAATTGCAAGAAACGACTGGGATGCACTCATTTGTGTCCAGAAACCAGAAACCCTAAAGCCTAAATCCTAAACCCTAAACCCTAAACCAGAAACCCTAAACCCTAAACCCTGAACCCTAAACCCTAAACCCTAAACCCGAGATGGATGTAGGAAGCAATGCTCCGAAGAGGCGGTTGAAGCTGACAAATCGCGAATCTAGACGAGTAGTTCGTGCCTTACAATTGGTATCGTTCTAGGGTTTAGGGTTTAGGGTTTAGGGTTTAGGGTTTAGGGTTTAGGGTTTAGGGTTTAGGGTTTAGGGTTTAGGGTTTAGGGATATGACCGAAATCTTAAACCTCATTCCTATGATAGATACTTTGTTTAAGAAGAACCTTTCCATTTTTCTCGGCTTAGGGATTTCGGGTTGGGTGTTGTGGGCTTTCTATCGGGTGGGGCATGCTGTGGGGGGGGGGGGGTGAGTATGCTATTTTCTGTGGGGTAGTGCATGGTTCCATGGTATGGAATCTTCAGGTGGGTCTTCGTCAGGGTATTTTGGTGAGTTGAAGGTTGAGGCATAGAAGTTGTTATGCAAGCCCTCACCTTTCTCAACTAGAGCTCCCATGACTAGACCCGAGGGTAACCGAGGAAAAAGTACCCTCTTGTCTCACAACGGAACCTAACCCCTAAACGAAAAGAAAAGGGACCTACGAATAGACCCCATTTCTTACAAGGGAACCTAAACCCTAAACATCCTCTGATTTGAGGCATGAACCCCGACCCTAAACCCTAAACCCTAAACCCTAAACCCGAAATCGCAATCTCGATGTAAACGGTTCTTTTGGGCTCAAAAACCTGCGCGACGAGGATGTCGGGTTTAGGGCTTGGGGCCTTTTCAGCCCTGACATCTAGAAACCCAAAACCCTCAACCCTAAAACCCTAAACCCGAGCAACCCGAAACCCCCCGTGGTTTGGATCCGAAATCGCCGAAATCTGAGAGCAGCTTGGCCGCAGGCACGCCAACGCCAGCGCGCCTGCCGGGAGTCAAGCCAAGGCTCGAAGGATTCAGGGTTGAGAGTTTGGGGTTTAGGGCTTATATGATATATACACATATCTGTATGGGTTTGGGGTTGAGGGTTTGGGCTTTAGGGTTTTTTTCCAGGCATAGGTTTACAGCGTTTAGGGTTTAGGGATGGGCTTCAGCTGCCTAAACACTATCAGACCTAGATTGTGCTGGGGTTTAAGGGTCGGAGACCTGTAGGACCTGCGTGTGCCTCTCATATAGATGTGCAACCCCAAACCCTAAACCCCAAACCCATAAACAAATATATATATATATGTATATCTATGTATATATATATATATATACATGTATACATATGCATATATATATATATGTTTGATTCTTGGGCTATATATATATATGTGTGTGTGTGTGTGTGTACATAGCCTCAGAACCCTTAGTCCATCTCAACACTGCATCCTAAGCTCAGATGAGGCCCACCACCTGAGGCCATGCAAGCTTGGGGGGCTTTCGAGGCCCTCAACCCTAAGAACCCCTTAGGTGAGGGTTTAGGGTTCAGGGTTCAGGGTTTAGGGTTTAGGGTTTGGCGTTTGGCGTTTAGGGTTTAGGGTTTAGGGTTTAGGGTTTAGGGTTTAGGGTTTAGGGTTTAGGGTTTAGGGTTTAGGGTTTAGGGTTTAGGGTTTAGGGTTTAGGGTTTAGGGTTTAGGGTTTAGGGCCTCCCACAACGCGGCCTGGAATGCTTCCCAGCTGGGCCGAGACCTGGAGGTGGAAGAGGCCTCACGGATGTGAGTAGATCTTGGGGGGCTTTTGAGGCCCTCAACCCGAAGATTCCCTCAGAGGGTTTAGGGTTTAGAGTTTAGGGTTTAGGGTTTAGGGTTTAGGGTTTAGGGTTTAGTGTTTAGGGTTTAGGGGGCCTTGTTGTGCTTAGGATCTGGGGAAGAGGGCCATTGAGGGTTTCGGAGTCTGAGGGGTTAGGGGTTTAGGGGTTTAGGGGTTTAGGGGTTTAGGGGTTTAGGGGTTTAGGGGTTTAGGGGTTTAGGGGTTTAGGGGTTTAGGGGTTTAGGGGTTTAGGGGTTTAGGGGTTTAGGGGTTTAGGGGTTTAGGGGTTTAGGGGGTTTAGGGGGCTTAGGGGGCTTAGGGGGCTTAGGGGGCTTAGGGGGCTTAGTGTTTAGCAGGACCGGCTCCTGATGTTGAGTGTTGAGGCTTTCGGGCTCAGGGTTTGGAACCATGATCCCCAGCGGAATCAGCAACAAACCATACTACTGGGTCCAAGCGACACCTAGGAATAAAAAGGGTGCCCCTTTTTTGGGTTTAAAGGGACTCAGAAGGGAACCTGCACCCTTCACAAAAGGGAATAAGGGCCTACTCTGGTCCTGAAGTCAAATGAACTCCGCCTGAGCGTCCAGACCCCAACAATAGGGTTTAGGGTTTAGGGTTTAGGATGTAGGGTTTAGGGTTTAGGGTTAGAGCTCTGGGCTACCTCAGGCAAGCTACAACACACGACGCCGAAGTACCGAAAAAAATGCCATTGAAAGGTGGTTTCCACCCTAACCCTAAGCCCTAAGCCCTAAGCCCTAAACCCTAAACCCTAAACACTAAACCCTAAACCCCCCATAACCCTGAACCCCACACCCTAAAGGCATTTCAGTGCTTCAGAATGTTGTGAGGGACCTTGGGCCGGCGAGGTCAGCACATTGTGGCCGATGAACTCAGCATTCCTTGCAGCCGGTTTAGGGTTTAGGGTTCAGGGTTTAGGGTTTAGGGTTTAGGGTTTTGGGTTTTGGGTTTAGGGTTTTCAGGGTGTTTAGTTCTTTGCAGGGTTTTAGGGCTTTTAGGACACTTAGGCTTGTTACGGTTTAGGGTTTGGAAAGGCCTCCAAAAGCTCAAACCCTAAACCCTAAACCCTAAACCCTAAACCCTGAACCCTAACCCTAAACCCTAAACCCTAAACCCTAAACCCTAAACCCTAAACCGCTAAACCCCTAAACCCTAAACCCTAAACCCTAAACCCTAAAACCCTAAACCCCTAAACCCTAAACCCTAAACCCCTAAACCCTAAACCCTAAAAGGCCTCCAACAGCTAGCCAGGATGCGCTTGGACATGCCTCGCATGGAGCATGGCCAGGGCAAAGTGAACGTGGCGGTAGATCTCCGCCCGCATGTTCTTGCCTCTAAGGTTGTAGGGTTTAGGGTTTGGGGTTTAGGGTTTAGGGTTTAGGGTGGGTTTAGGGTTTGACGTTTAGGGTTGAGGGTTTAGAGCTTAACTAGGGTTTACCCTGAACCCTAAACCCCAAATCCCAAACCCCGAACCCGAAACCCTAAACGAACAAAACCATGGGCAGGGTGCATGTGGGGGCTGCGGGCTGCTGAATGATTTTCAAAGCTGCCGAGCCCTAAACCCTAAAACCCTAACCCTAAACCCGAAACGCCCTAAACCCCAAACCCTAAACCCTACACCCTACACCCTACACCCTACACTCTACACCCTAAACCCTAAACCCTACACCCTAAACCCTAAACCCTGAACCCCAAACATTCATCCATGGCCTCACAGCCCTCCTAGCGTCGAGGCAGGACCCCTACGTGGGAGGCCTTTGCCCACCGCCAGCACCAGCGATGAAGGCTCAGCAGGCCGAATCACCACGTCCTGCAGACCCTAAGCCCTAAACCCTAAACCCTAAACCTTAAACCCTAAACCCGAAACCCGGTTTAGGGTTTAGGGTGTATAGAAATTGTACAGGGTTTGTGTCCGGAGTTTTGTCGGGTTTGGGCGGGATTTTCTTTTGCATTTGTATGAGATTTCCTAATGGCTCTCCCGGTGTCTTTGTCGCATCTTAAAGGTTTTGAAGGAAAGGTTTTGAACGAAGGTTTGAACGAAAGTTTCTGTTTGGTGCCTTGAAGACCCGTCGCTTGAAGCCTCTTGGTTCTTTGAAGGACTATTGTCGCCCATCGACATTGCAAGATCTGAGAAATTGAAGGATCACTGTGTACCTCGATATATGCAAGTTCTCAAGGAACCACATACAGTTTCTATTTATCCTGGCGTTGAGGGTTTTAGGGTTTGGGGTTTAGGGTTGAGGGAGTGCGAGGCTTACATAGGGTGTCATATGTAGATCCTATTTTCAATGGGAGCAGTCTGAAAACTAGCACAAATAGAAAAATGGAAAACGCCCAATTTGAACTCAAGGGTGCAGGGTTCGCCTCTTTCGGGTTTCAGTTTAAGGCTTAGGAACCCTAAACCCTAAACCCTAAACCCCAAACCCTAGACCCCAAACCCTAAACCCCAAACCCTAAACCCAAAAACCCTAAACCCTAGACCCTAAACCCTAAAATCCAAACCCTAAACCGCAGGTTCCGCAGCATCAAATGAAATTGAGTTCAGCCAGTTTGGTTTTTCTTGGAGGAGGGGCCATCGATTCCAGGATCCCCGTGCGCGCGGGTTTAGGGTTTAGGGTTTAGGGGTTTAGGGGTTAGGGTTTAGGGTTTAGGGGTTTAGCGGTTCAGGGGTTTAGGGTTTAGGGTTTAGGGTTTAGGGTTTAGGGTTTAGGGTTTAGGGTTTGGGATTTCCCAGCGCTGTGTGGGAAAACGCCTACCTCCACACGTTTGAGGTGCTGGCAAGGGCCCACACCCGCTTGCTGAGGCAAAATCCGAAACACTGAGCCCTCTAGACCTTAAACCCTAAACCCTAAACCCTAAACCCTAAACCCTATGAACGCAAAAACCCACAAACCCCCGAATCCCACTCTCCTCGTCGGGCGCATCATCGCCAGCCCTGCGAACGAGGCACCAGCATTGCAGCGACGAGGAAGTTTTTGGGGTTTGGGGTTTAGGGATTAGGGTTTCGGGCTGGGGTTTAGGGTTCAAGACACTAAGCCCTAAGACCTAATCTGGAAACCTTACAGCCCCAGTTGGTGGGTGCTGAAGGCTACAGCAGAGCCCAGAGTTTATGATCTTGGCTGCTCTTAGCAGGGTAGCTATGAACTAAATTTTCAACTGCCCTATTGAGAAACCCAATAAGCCCAAAAAGGCTAAGGATCTAAAGTTACAGTAAAACTCCACAGAGTGATGGATGCGCATTTTGGGGTTTAGGAACCCGGGTTTGGAGTCTCTTACAAGTGGGCCACAGAGACGACCCCAACGCCTAAACCCTAAACCCTCAGCATCAACCCTTTCACTCTTAGCCTTAAACCCTAAACCCTAAGCCCTGAACCCTAAACCCTAAACCCTAAGTGAACGGGAGCCCAACTCTTGCAGCTCAAGACAGAGTCCTGCTTACTGGACCGTCGTAGGGAAGGAGGGAAGCTGCTTAGGGTTCAGTTTTAACCCCTCAACTTAGTTGCTGAGTTCATAAGCCACCAAAAAGTTTGCACTTTCAGTTCTATAGGGGATTAATTATAGTATCCCAAAAAGTGTAAAGTGTACTCCTTCAGCTGCTAAGTCAAGCCTTTGAGGGGAATATCTCAGGGAACCAACCCAGCTTCCGAATTCCTTCCTTGCCGAAACCCTGAACTCTAAACCCCTCAGCCCCCCCCCCCCCCCCCCCCCCCCCCCCCCCCCCCAAAAAAAAAAAACCCTTAAACCCTGGTCCCCTAAACTCTCCCCCAGCACCTGGCAGCCTACTCCACTGCCACATGCCCATAAAAGCCACTGAACCAGGCTCCATTTAGGGTTTAGGGTTTAGGGTTTAGGGTTTAGGGTTTAGGGCTTAGGGCTTAGGGCTTAGGGCTTAGGGTTCATGGCCTAGTTCCAGCAAGATTTTTCACGCTTGACAGGGCTTCGGGTGTATTATGCTTGTAGCAGGGCTTACCGTCAGGGTTCCGGCTTTCGAAGCTAAATGCCTCCTCTCCGTCCAACAGACAGACTTGCAATCACCCTACTTAGACCCTAAACCCTAAATCCTAAACCCTAAACCCTAAACCCCAAAACCCTCAACCCTAGTCTGCCCTGGGCAAGTTGGACAGTGTTGCCCTTGCCTTCCGTACTCAGTCGCTGCGCCCTCCCCCGGCATCCTTGGGACTTGTCTTTGGGGTTTAGGGTTTGGAGTTTAGGGTTTGGGGTTTGGGGTTTAGGGTTTAGGGTTTAGGGTTCGGGGTTTGGGGCTTCGGGTTTTGGGTTTTGGGGTCCCTCAACCCCCTAAGCACTTAAGCACACTCAAGTCCAGAACCTGAATTCGACATGCTTGACATTGATGAAACCCTAAGCCCCACCTTTGAACTCCCAATTTGTCACGTACAGGGACAGGGTTTAGGGTTTGGGGTTTGGGGTTTAGGGTTTAGGATTTAGGGTTTGGGGTTTGGGCTTGGGGTGTAGGGCTTGAGGAGGTGGTCTGGGCTGATTTAAGGTTTGGGGCTAGGTTTAGCGGTTAGGGTCAGGGTCTAGAGTTTAGGGTTTAGGGTTTAGGGTTTAGGGTTTTAGGGTTTAGGGTTTAAGGTTTAGGGTTTAGGGTTTTAGGGTTTAGGGTTTAGGGTTTTTTGAGGTTTTTGAGGTTTTGGGGGTTTTGGGTTTTAGGTTTAGGGAGGACAGTTCTCTCCTGGGGTTTGAAAGCTTTATGGCTTCGGCTTGGAAACCTCCCAGAACATTCAGGAAAAGGCGTCCTGAAAAAATTGCTGTCCTAAACCCTAAACCCCAAACCCTAAACAAAACCTGAAACCCTAAACCCTAAACCCTAAACCCTGAACCCTGAACCCTAAACCCTAAACCCTAAACCCTAAGCCCTAAGCCCTAAACCCTAAACGAAGCGCAGGCGCGGCGAGTGCGCAAAGGGCGTGAGGCCGAGCTGGTGGCAGACGCTGTTGCAGCCTCTGCAGTGTCAACTCGCCCCTTCTAACCGAAAAACCTGATAAGCTCAAAAACCTAGGGTTTGGGGTTTGGGTTTAGGGTTTAGGGTTTAGGGTTTGGGGTTTAGGGTTTAGGGTTTAGGGTTTAGGGTTTAGGGTTCAGGGTTTAGGGTTTAGGGTTTAGGGTTGAGGGCTTGCTGGAACCGGCTGGTGGGGCCAGGATGCGGTGGCTCGCGAAGAAGAGGGCGATGCCCCGGATGCCCATGTTTCCTACCGCAGGCTTAGGCTTTCGTAAAGGGTTTAGGGTTTAGGGTTTAGGGTTTAGGGTTTAGGGTTTAGGGTTTAGGGTTTAGGGTTTAGGGTTTAGGGTTTAGGGTTTAGGGTTTAGGGTTTAGGGTTCAGGGTTCAGGGTTTAGGGTTTAGGGGTTTAGGGGAACCCTAAACAGGGAACCCCAAGAATAGAGTAGGGGTATAGTAGGAAGGTAGTAGGAATATGCCCAATTCTCTTGGGTTCCCCCTTCAAATTCCTACTACATTCTAGCGGTTCCTCCTAAACCCTAACCACTAAACCCTAAACCCCAAACCCTAACCCCTAAACCCTGCTTGGGTTCCCAGGGATCCTTTCATTCTGGGGGACCGTAGGGGTTTGAACGTCCGTGGTCTTTGGATAGCTTTGGGGCTTTAGGGCTTGTGTAGGGTCTTTAGGGTTTGGGCTTTAGGGTTTAGTGCTTGGGGTTTGGGGTTTAGGGTTTAGGGTTTATGCTTGTTCAAGGCTAGTAGGGTTTGCTTGCGGAAATTCGGGTGGCAGTCAGTCAGCCCTATAAACCCTCATTGACGGTCGACCTAACCCTAAACCCTGAACCCATTGGGCCAGTGGTTTCAACGATGGCCCAAAGCGACGATTCTGCCTTTGCCGAGGATTGTTCAAGGCATGCAGTCCTGAAACCCCAGACCCTAAACCCCAAAACCCTGAACCCCAAAGCCCAAAACCCCCAAAACCCTTAAACCCTTGGTGCTCGAGTTTAGCGCTCCGGTGCTGGGGTTTTTGGAGGGTTTAGGGTGTAGGGCGTAGGGTTTAGCGCTTAGGGACCCTAAACCCTCAACCCTCAACCCTCAACCCTAAACCCTAAACCCTAAACCCTAAACCCCCACGCCCCGACGCGGCTTTTGCAGAGCTGCCTCGTCCGAAGTTGGCGGAGCTACTCGCAGTGTGGATCTGCCTCAGCTCTCATAGGAGGGTTTAGGGTTTAGGGTTTAGCGTTTAGCGTTTAGGGTTTAGGGTTTAGGGTTTAGGGTTTAGGGTTTAGGGTTTAGGGTTTAGGGTTTAGGGTTTAGGGTTTAGGGTTTAGGGTTTAGGGTTTAGGGTTTAGTTAGGGTTAGGGCTTAGGAGTTTAGGGTTTAGGGTTTATAGTCTCTTGCCTTTAGGCTTTCGGCTTCTAGTCTCTGGGATTTCGTATGCATCTTCAAATAAGCCCACTACAAACCCCTCCTTGAGATGTACAGGCAAAGAGGGCAAGATGGAGCCCAACCTGCTCTGAAATCCACAACCCGAAGCCACCGTAAAACCCTAACTTATACACCCTACACCCTAAGCCCTAAACCCGAAACCCTAAACCCTAAACCCCAAAGTAGAGTGTCACAGACTAGGGTGTTTAGGGTTTGGGGTTTAGGGTTTCGGGCTTTCGGTTTAGGGTGTAGGGTTTAGGGCTTAGCCTAAACCCTAGGGCCCTAGGGTAAACTTGACACCCAGAGCCGAGCAACAGCTGTCAAATGTAGGTCTCTGAAGCAAAGGTGCTCCCTCCTCTTCAAGCCTCCCAAGCCCCAAATTTTCCCCCCTAAACCCCTAAACCCCAAACCCCAAACCCCAAACCCCAAACCCTAAACCCTAAACCCCAAACCCTAAACCCTAAACCCGAAATGCGGAACAAGGCTCGGATCTGTGTACAAGTCGTCCACGCCTGCGGCGAGAGCCCTGAACCTCGAACCTTAGCCCCACCTCTCCACAACAGCGCCTCAACCCCTAAGCCCTTCAACCACTAAACCCTAAACCCCTAAACCCTAAACCCTAAATCGCCTCAACCCCCCGGATCCCGCAACCTTCTATGCACCCCAGATCTTAGGGTTTAGGGTTTAGGGACTTAGGGGTTAGGGTTTAGGGATTAGTCATTTAGGGTTTAGGGTTTAGGGTTTAGGGGCACCCTCAAACCCTGCATCCCCCAAAAGGCTGCCTTGGATGTCCACCACGATCTGCTCCGCCTCCGACGCTTCGAAGGTGAAGTGGGAGAAGGCGTGGGGCCTCCCACGGACTTTAGGGTTTAGGGTTTAGGGTTCAGGGTTCAGGGTTTAGGGTTTAGGGTTTAGGGTTCAGGGTTCAGGGTTTAGGGTTCAGGGTTTTGGGGGTTTGGGGTTTAGGGTTTAGGGTTTAGGGTTTAGGGTTTAGGGTTTAGGATGCCCTCACCCCAAGCCCTAACCTCTAATACAAGCCCTGAACGTTACAAACCCTAAACTTGCAGCTGCCTGTCGCAAAGTTCACAGCTGTCGTGTGTAGGGCGGCTAGCGTCTGCGGGGGGCATCCATGGCCCACGTGACCGAACGAACGAGCTGCTACTCTGCCAGTTGAGCGGCGTGTTCCTCACCACCTCGTCCGCAACGAAGCCTGCCGGCAAAGGAGAAGCTCTAAGGGGGTATAAGGCCATACCAGGAGGATGTTAAGGGGAACCTGTAGCACTCACGAGTCTGAATCCCTTCAACAGAGCTTGCTTGAAAGAGAGCGCGCAGAGTGCGTGCGATCGAAAGCCTAGACCCTACCCACCCCTATTTTGAGCGATTTTGTTGGGGGGATGAACCCTAACCCTAAACCCTAAACCCTAAACCCTAAACCCTAAACCCTAAACCCTAAACCCCAAGAACCCTAAACCCCAAGAACCCTGGGGCGGAGGCCTGAGTTGCTGGAGTGCTTCGTGAAGCTCCCATCCAAGAAGGCCTCAGGCTCGGCTTTTGGGGGTGCTTCAGGTTCTCCGGTACTTCAGGTTCACATTGCAACATGTATATATATATATATATATATATATATAGATATATATATATATGTATATATACACATATGTATGTATATATATATGTATATATACACATATGTATATATATATATATATATGTAATAGATGTTTGTATGTATATATATATATACATATATATATATATATATAACATAGATGCATGTGCATAGGTATGGGAGTATACATATTGTATGCATGTATGCATGTATGCATGTATGCATGTATGCATGTATGCATGTATGCATGTATGCATGTATGCATGTATGCATGTATGCATGTATGCATGTATGCATGTATGCATGTATGCATGTATGCATGTATGCATGTATGCATGTATGTATGTATGTATGTATGTGTGTGCAATCAAGTACTCTTAAGTAATGATATATATATATATGTGAGCGAGCGGCAAAATTCAAAGCTGCTGCCGCGGCTTTGCAGCTGTTGTTATCGCTTTTGGTCTGTCGCGTTATCGCAGGCCAGCATTTCATGATCCCGGCCGGATTGTCGCTGATTTTCAGTACTGGATTGGTACTGGAATCGAGGTTTTCATGATCCCGGCTAGACTGTCGTTGATTTTCAGTACTGGCTGAGTACTGGAATCGAGGTTTTCATGATCCCGGCGCATGATCTGGCTTGGTACTGGAATCGAAATGTTCATGATCCCGGTTGGATTGTCGTTGATTTTCAGTACTGGCTTAGTACTGGAATCGAGGTTTTCATGATCCTGGCTGGATTGTCGTTGCTTTTCAGTACTGGCTTAGTACTGGAACCGAGGTTTCCATGATGCCGGCTGGACTGTCGTTGAATATCAGTACTGGCTTAGTACTGGAATCGAGGTTTTCATAATCCCGGCTGGATTGTCGTTGCTTTTCAGTACTGGCTGAGTACTGGAATCGAGGCTTTCATGATCCCGGCTGGATTGTCGTTGCTTTTCAGTACTGGCTTAGTACTGGAACCGAGGTTTCCATGATGCCGGCTGGACTGTCGTTGAATATCAGTACTGGCTTAGTACTGGAATCGAGGTTTTCATAATCCCGGCTGGATTGTCGTTGCTTTTCAGTACTGGCTGAGTACTGGAATCGAGGCTTTCATGATCCCGGCTGGATTGTCGTTGCTTTTCAGTACTGGCTTAGTACTGGAACCGAGGTTTCCATGATGCCGGCTGGACTGTCGTTGAATATCAGTACTGGCTTAGTACTGGAATCGAGGTTTTCATAATCCCGGCTGGATTGTCGTTGCTTTTCAGTACTGGCTGAGTACTGGAATCGAGGCTTTCATGATCCCGGCTGGATTGTCGTTGCTTTTCAGTACTGGCTTAGTGCTGGAACTGAGATCTCCATGATCCGGCTGGATTCTGAACTCGGGGTCTGACGTTCTGCAGCCTTATCGCTTTTGGTATTGGCCAGCTTTCTCAAACATGTACGGATGAGTGTACTTGAGGAGGTCGTCAGAGGTTACTAGAGGGTTGAAGAGGGTAACACTTGCCTACACACTAAACTCTACTGTAACCCATCGGCCTCAACAGCGACATGCAGGTAGAAGAGCCCCCCCTGATGGCCCTCTGAAAACCCTGAAAGCGAGAGCCTAAGCCCTACGCACCATGCACCCGAAAAAAGCCAAACCCCAAACCCTAAACCCTAAACTCTGAAAGCCCTGAGCTGCCTCCACCGCGAAGTCACGCATCCCGGGCCGCTCCTGCACCGAGAGGACGGAAGCCTCGACGAAGTCCACCTTCCTTCGCTCACGGAGGGTTTTAGGGTTTAGGGTTAGGGTTTAGGCTTTAGGCTTTAGGGTTTAGGGTTTAGGGTTTAGGGTTTAGGGTTTAGGGTTCAGGGTTCAGGGTTTAGGGTTTAGGGTTTAGGGTTTAGGGTTTAGGGTTTAGGGTTTAGGGTTTAGGGTTTAGGGTTTAGGGTTTAGGGTTTAGGGTTTAGGGTTTAGGGCTTGCTGCAGAGAACGCAGT